CAAAATATGAGTGCTGGAGAGCCGTGCCAATCTCACTACAACAAACGGAAAAAAATATTAAATTACCTCCTCCACTTTTCAGCGACGTGAGGCTTTCCACCCACATTTAGATGATTTAACAAAGGCTAAATCAAAAATAGATATAGTAAAAAATTAAGACACTGTGAATTTTAAGTAACCCTGCTTTGACCACACTGAGAGGAACAGATCCATAAATATGTAGAAAATCAGATCTGATACTCACAGATTGTCAGGTAAAGTAAGGTTGAATTTTATCAAATTAATTACATTACTAATTATTCAAATGAATTGCAAATAAAAACATAATTCAAACATCACCTTGTGTTTCAGTCGAAGCATCATTATTCACATTCTCTTTAATTAATCGTACTAAATTAATATGTTAAAATGACAGCCCTAATTAGAAATAACCATACCTCAGTCCAAGCTGTCGGCAAACCACACTGGCATCACGATCTGTCCAGTGTGTGTCACAAACCGACCCCCACTGGCCATTCAGATAGACCTCCAGTCGGCCACTCTTTGAGGATGAACCTCCTGCTAACCTTACTGCTCCTGAACAAGTGAGAGATAAATACATATTATTATTATATATTAAGCTGTTGTTCTCAGTTATTCTTTTTAGCTCACTGATATGTAATTTCTAGGGAGTTCAGGGTGGTTGCTTACAGCACTCGCCCAAGAGACCACATCCAAGAAAACCCCTAAATAAACGTATTTACAACCAGCATTCTTATCTCCTCACTATTTTCTAAATTTTACTAAGAATTAACAGTAAATTATAAAATCTTACTGAAAAGACAAGGCCAGTTTTTTCTTTTCAGGAAGGATAGCAAAAATTGTGAGATTTAGATTTTTTTTTTTTTATAAAACTAACCAAAATAGCATGGTTCATTCTGTATTTGTATATAATTTTATCTTTCGGAGAACTGAATTTGAACATGGAAATTAACAGTACAGCTTCTTTACAGAGATGTACCACACAGTTTATTAGTGGTGCGATTCGTTTTTTCAGATCATTGGCATAAGCTCCTAAAATCAGAGGCAAATTATGATCAAAAACTTTGTTCTTATCAACTTATTCATGCCTCTAATCCCAGCCCTAAACCTAACAGTAATATGCGATTGGTTGATAACAGGAACAGAATGTTGATCCAGGAGCATGTCCTACTTAGCAAAGTCACAGTCACCCTTTGTCTTTACTGCAAGCAAAGATGCTTTTTACACAAGCTTCTTCTTTTTTTACGAATAACCCTTTTCTATTTTTTTCTGAGATATATACAGAATATTCTTCACAAGAATGTCAACCATTGATTTCTAAATATAAAGTTGATGCAAAACAACATTCTTCCAAGAGACGGAAAAGAAAGTAGGACAACAGTATACAAAGAGGTATTAAAACACATATTTATCATCTGAAGAATGTTAGAATATTCTAACATCTAAGGCCGTCATCCCACTAGCTGATTTTCAGTCATAAGCGCCTGTGTTTCTCTCTGCGGGAAGCGTTAACAGCCCCAGAGACTCAACTCCCTGATGAGTTAATGGATCTGACCCAAACTTTTTTCTCAAAAGCCGCATATTGCGAACACTGACTGTGTTTTTCAAGAATTCGCAGACACTAAATTGAATTAAATAAAACAGTGAGGGTTGTTTATTGAATGTACTTTATTTTCATTGAAGCTGTGCATGAATATTCTGCAGCAAAATCTGAAGGGATTCACGTGGTAGAAGTGAAATGCTGTTATTTCTGTTGTTATTTTGGCAAGTTTCACATTAATTTGCCAAAACAATCTATGACAGGAAACTGTAGATTGCTCTTCATACCACAGATTATCAATGATTGTGATAGATCTCAGACAGAAAAGGGTGAGATTTTTGGAAAAAATAAAAAATAAATAAATAAAATAAAGGCTGTTTTGACTTGGCAAGTGGGATGCCGCCTTAAGGAATATTATAAAACAATGATATTACAAAATATATCTACAATACTCTTTGAATTACCTCACTAGTGGAACATAGCAGACTTTTAATGAAACACCGTAGTACTCACCTTGGTGGCAGTCACAGTAGGCCCAGCCAATGGCCCCTGAGCTCTGTCTGAAAAAGCACCATGGGTTGGACTCACGGTCAGGATTTCGACAAAAATTATGCTCTCCAAGACCCCTGCCTGGATACTGCTGCACATAATCTGGGAATTCAGTCCACTTTAGACAGGGTGAACCTGAGTCTGTCTGAGAAACGGTGCCATTGTAATAACCCAGCTCAGTGAAGCCCTCGGAGCAGGATAGAGGAACTGAGGGGGGAAAAAAGAGAAAAAGGATTTTATACTGTGCATAAATCCGATTCAGTTTTTAAATCCCATCTTTAAGGCTGTCTGTTGAGTTCACACTGGCATTTTGCAAGTGATGA